GGACTGAACTGCTCCTGGTGCACGGAGGACCGTGACGAGTGCCAGAGAGCACGGAAACACCGTTTACTTCCCCTCTGCAGTGGTACCTATTTATCTACTTGCACTGGCATGGTTTCAAACTGCTAGGATGATGATGATGATGATGATGATGATAATGATTTGCTATTGTCAGCAGGCAAGAGAAAAGGAAAGATAAGGCAGCAGAAGCATAAATCACCTAGGATATCAAACGTGCTCGGCTTCCAACAAGCTTTGACAAGCACAATGCAAGTTAAGTATAGTGTGTGCCTAATAAAATGATTCTCATGAAACCAGGATTTGAAACTGGGGGTGGGGGGGGAGCTTCAAGGAGAGTAAACAATAGTAACTGTTTTAACAAGGTGGGCTGTAAAGGATTTGGCCTGGAGTTTTGCAATACAGTCAAAAAGCATTTTGAGCTACGAGCCGCACTTGTGAGTGAACAGAAGGCATCAATGGTGGGATTCCTTGGAGCACCTTCTACAGAGCTCCATTGGATAAGAAGGCAGAGTTCGACCAGATCTAGCAAGCAGGTTGCCATACAACCTGGAAAATAAAAACTGGACCGTTCTCCACAACGACAATTGGCAAGGCTGCTTTTCTTTCCATGCCTCCTCAGCCGTTTTTAGATGAACACAGTTACCTTTTGCTTGGGGCCCTTCCCTCAGATCCGCTAAACATTTACAGGACTCTGCCTCCAACCTATTAAAAAAAATTCTGGATTTCTCTCCTTGGCTGTTCTCCTCGAGCCGCTTTGGACTCCACCCTCTGACCAAATAACTCTGCCCTTTGAGCTCACCCAGGGATTAGGACTTTTGATTTCTATAGTTGGCAACCCCACCCACCAATAATCGCCCGTGCTTTCAAATTCCTGAGTCTTGAGACTTGACTACCACATTGCAATCTCTTAGGAGCTTCCCTTGAAGACTGCTGGGAGATGGGTTCAGAACATGGTTTGGGAGCCCTTATCCTGATAGCGATGGGCACTGGAAGTGTGTTCTAGCAGACTTTTAACAGCTGCACTATCTTTCTTGTGCATTTGAAGCACAATGGAAGGTGCTGGGTTGATACCTGAATAGGTATGGCCCTTCATACTTTTGACAAGTCCTCTTCCTTCCTTGTGCAGTCTCTAGAATTAACTGGGAATGGCCTTTTTGCAGTTCCCTCCATGTTCTGAGTCTCGATGACCAACCTTCATAAGGATTTCTCACTTAGGGCCATTCCTTAGCTAAAGAGCTCTTAGATAAAAACATATAAAAGCAATGCAAACTGTTTTTCATACATATAATGGGTAATAAAGGTACTCATTATTTGTATAATACCACTGATCATTCAAAGAAAACACTGAATGCATTACCTTGCTGTAATTCCTAACAAGAACAACAATTCTATATGAATTCCATGTTGCACATGGAATATTAAGGAGTGTTTTGCTCAATGAGTTCTTGTCAAATGCAAGATTCAAACTGGGGCTTCTTGATTCATAGCCGAGCCACTTCTCTGCATAAGCAAGTGGTTCTTTCCATTCCTGACATATATGTTTAACACAGTCTTGCAACATGTCCACAAAAATTACTGTTTTGCGAATGCCTGCATGTAACATTCTGACGCTAGTCTTTGTGGCACATGGATGGCATCGAACAAAAAGAGAACTGATTCTGTCTGTCTCTGCAAAAGTTCCCCTTCCTGGTCACTTACAGGAATTATTTACTCACCATAGGTAACATGGTGAGTGGCTATTTACAAGTCTGGTGCAGAGCTTCACTTGCACATTGAAGCTCTCACAGCAGGGGAAAAAAGTAGATTTGGTCTGTGCCTTGATTGCAAATTGCTAAAAGGTTCTGAGCCTTTAATGGACGGGGGAGGGAACAAATTAAATATTGGCACAAATATTGCATATTCTCTTGGGCTCTGCTACCTCCCACCTGCTATAAGCCAGGCATGCCGAGTCTCTCCGGAGATTGCAAATGCAACATTGTCCAGAATGCTCTTCTTCTGTGGTCTTTGCATCTGTCCCCCCCCCCTTAAATCCACAGTATTTCCAAACAAGGAGTGAAGCAAGGCAGCAGAACAAGGGGCATGTTGAAATGCACAGCAGCCTTGACAGATCATTGTTGCATGGTTGCTTTGCAGCAAACGTCTTGCGCCATGCTTTGCTCTGAGCGGAACGTTATCCTCCAGCCCTGCAAGGCGAGGAGGGTGGAAGAACTGAGAATAGCTCAACTGGGCTTTTTCGCAAGCCTTTATTTAGGATGTGTGGTTGAAGCAATTCCACCATTACTCATAGGAAGCTCGAAAATGCAGCACGCCCAAAGAAAATTGGCAAACGTCTTCAAACCGTAGGCTCAGTCTTGTGTGTGTGTGTGTGTGAAGTATGAAAAAGATTCTGTTTCCATAAATGCAACATTGCAACAAAGGGTGGTGCACTGGAGATATTTACCTCTGTTCCAAGTAGCGATGGACAAATTCTTGCCTCCTCCCACACATGTGCAACATGGAAGGGGTCAGATTAAAACTCATTCATTTGGAGCACATCTAAGCCCTATTCTTTCATGGTGTTTAAAGAAGCAAGTGTTTGCGGGACAAAACATGTTGGAAATGTAAGGATGTAAATGGAGATTTTTACCACACGTGGTGGACTTGTGACAAAGTAACAATATTTTGGGAATCGATCTACAATGAACTAAAGAAGATGTTTAGATATACTTTTCCCAAAAAGCCGGAAGCATTTTTGCTTGGCTTGATGGGAAATGAGATTATGAAGGTAGATCAAAGACTATTCATGTACACCACAGCTGCAGCAAGGACTTTGTTGGCCCAAAAATGGAAATTACAAGAAATTCCTACCATTGCGGAGTGGCAGGTGAAGATGATGGATTTTGCTGAGTTGGCGAAACTGACTTGCAGGATCCGAGACCAGGACGATCAGAAATTCCAGAGAGACTGGAGTAAATTTATTGTCTATTTAAATGACAACTATAAAAATTTGAAGACACTAGCAAGATTGAAGTAAATCCTACAATGTAGAGATATTGTAAAGAGTTAGAATGCGAGATTGGATCTGATATGGGCTACTGGTTGAAGGGAAGGAGGGAAGTCGTAAGTAAGTCGACGGAGCAAAAAAAGTTTATATGTTGATCAGTGTATTGTTTGAAAAAGTGTTTAAGGAAAAATAATAAAAATTTATATCAAAAAAGAAAGAAGCAAGTGTTTGCTGGGCCCCCATCATCTTCCTTGTTGACTTCCATGAGTTATAGAGGGCTAACTTTGGAAGTGAGGAGCTTGCTCTACCCATGTAGGATGCCTATGTGTTTTAGAACCCTGAAATCTGGTCTCTAAGAGAGTGGGTGGAGAGGCTATGTGAGCAGAAAAGGCTTCTGAACTGCAGATGTTATTCCTCCAAATCATGGAGGATTGTGGGAATGGCAACTGGCGTCTGTGTCAGGCATGCTTAGCATACCCATCCTCGCTGATTCCTCATGTGAGAGTTTTAGGCCACGTCCACACTATTCATTTAAAGCACTTTTATGCCACTTTAACTGCCGTAGCTTTCCCCAAGGAATCCTGGGAACCTTTGGAGGGTGCTGAGAATTGTTAGGGGAGCACTATTCCCCTCACAGAGCTACAAATGTTTTAACAATCAATCCCTCTTCCCATAGAACTCTGGGAAATGGAATTATTCTTTGAGGAGAACAGGGGGCTTCCAACAATTATCAACATTTATAACAAACTTCACTTCCCAGGATCCTTTGTGGGGGGAAGCCATGACTGCTGAAGTGCTGAAGGTCTAAGAGTGCTTCAGAGGTCTCATGTGGATGTGGCCTTGGGATGCCCTGAATACATATGAAACCCGATTTTAATTTGCTTTCATTCCAAATCATTGAGACTTATAGGTCCATTGGTTTCATTTATTCATTATGTGTGGTACTCCCTGGAACTGTGCACTTCTACTTCCCTTAAATTATGAGGTGGGGCATATTGAAGACAGAACCTGGAAACTACCACAGTAGGGCAACTGCAGCAGCTTGCAGGGATTCTGGGAGCCATGGGAAAGCGCTGTATCGGGAAGTTTTTCATGTGTGACATTTTATGATGTTTTTATATGTACTGGAAGCTGCCTAGAATGGCTGGGGAAACCTAGCCAGATGGCTGGGGTATAAGTAATAAAATTATTAATTATTATTATTACACTGTCTCTTTCCAGTAAGGAAAAGAGTACATCCTCAACTCGTGTTCCAACCTCCAAATTTACTGGAAAAGGACCAATCAGAGGCCTGGAAGGGGCCACAAGGGCCATCTTGCAATGCAGGAATCAGTTATCATCAGATTCAAGGCCTAAGATTTCCAGTAGTGACGCTTTCTTCCCTAGGTAGTGGGTGAGGTGTGTGTAGAAGCTAGCCTACCATATGTACAAAAGTAAAATCTCAATTCATTGCTCCACCCATTTTTGCTTCTGGCTCCTCCCACCAGTGGTATGTGGCCCTTGGGAAGTTGCCCAAAAAGGAATGAGGCCCTCAAGTGGAGAAAGCTGTTCCCCACACCTGGCCTATAGGAACTGGACCTTCAGTTGTCTAAAGTTATGAAACGGGACTCATAATAGAGGGCCTATAATTGCAAGAAAAGAAACACACTTCTCTCCCGCATCATTTTCATCGCCTTCTATATACAGATGCAGAATCTGCATGTTCAATGCACTTCACGTTTTTTGCTGAGTGATCACAATTGGGGCATATGGAGCAGATTTATGTATGTTGCATTGAAGGAAGTATAAGTGGGTTAGACGAATTCTCATTTGGCAAAGCTTAGCTCCTTGCCTTGACCAGGCAAGCCTAGCTAAAGCACTTTTAAGAACCATTGCCATCCCATCCCATTGCCAAGCCAATGCAGTGTTCCCAGTGAATGGGGGGCAACTCTAGATAATGGAAATTCTGTTACCACTTTTAATTCCACTGAAGCAAAACCAAAGAAAGAGACCCAAAAATGCTGATAAGAATTTTTTTTTTTATGTTATTCCAATAAAAAATACATTCATACAGAAATATAACAATCTTGCAAAAAACAATTTCAAATAAAATCTTGTAAAACAATTTTTTTTTACAAAAATCTTACAAAGAGATTCTTTAGATAACAGGGTGCTTCCAAAAAACAAACAAACAAAAAAAGGAAAAAAGAAAGAAAGAAAGAAATTTTACGAATAGAAATTCTCTTCTGAAATTTCAAGCAATTTTTTTTCTCTCTGCTTTATTGAGGCTCAGTTATCACCTGAACAAAATGTACTTGTTTAAACTTACAAAACTGACAGGCATAATTTGACGTATGGCACACAGCCCCCCATTCCAAAACCGTTTTGATGCTTCACAATCAAGAAAAGCTAATGCAGGGGGATTTACTAAATTTCCATGTTTTTCTCCTTGAGCATTAATAGAGTTATTATGCTTCAGCAGAAAGCATTGCAAAATAGGTAAACAAAAAACCCACCCCTGAAATACCCCCAAACAAATAGAAAAACCCTTCTTAATCACCTTGTTCCACTTGTGATGATCCTGATAAACATACAGGTATAGACCTCCCATTTTTACTATGGAGAATGCTCCATGTATGAAATGTTTCTCTCACTATAGCTGCAAGGAAGTCCCTCAACAAGGAAAAAAGAAAAAAGAGCAAGGCAGATCCTACATGCATGAAGCTCCACATGTAACATGAGAGCCCTACAGATTGTAGACAATATAAACCTTTTTCCTAGGGCATATTTACTTTTTGCTTTTTTAAAAGTGCACACTCAAGTATATAAAAATTGAACACAATACAAAAGGGGCAGGCCTGTGTGTTCCTTAGAAATGGATAAATTAGTGTCTAATGTGTTCTAGAGAACTATTTAACCTTCACCACCAGTTCCTGGAAAAGCTGTCCTAAACAGCAAGAAATGGGCTATCACTGTGGTTTGTGGGTAAGTACAGCACTGCTGGGGAAGGCAGTTCTGAAACTCACTGACTTAACTTCTGGGGGATGGCTGCATCTAAGCTCTCTCATGAAAACCATATTGCGCCTTCAGCTGAAATGTAAATACCCAAAGTAACAAAGCAATCATCAAGGAACTCATTCCTAGATCTTCTCAATAAGCTTCTAGACAGAAGCCAAAGGGGTAGATTTGGGTTGGAGGGTTTTTGTTGTTGTTGTTGCCTCCTGCTAGAATTATCAACTGCTAAATGTGGCACAGGAGGTGAAGACCCCATTGCCCTCCAGATGCCATGCAACCACAACTCTCATCAGCCCCTGCCAGAATGGTCAACAGGGATTGTGAGAGTTGTGGTTCAACGACATCAGAGACCAAAGGTTCCCCACCTCTGATGTAGCACTTCCAGATGATGTGGAAACATGTCACTAAGTGAGCTCAGCCCTCAAGGTGATGTACCAAATCAGTGCCCTTCGGGACAGATGGAGAGCCAGCAAGACACGAGCAGAAAGTTGGTTGGAAGGTCCAGTTGGGACAAGAGGGGCAGTCTTGGGACCTTGCCAAGGTAAAAGAGAAATGGCAGGCTCATTGGTCTGGAGAGAGAGAACCTGATTCAGAAAGCTGCCAAGTTGCATTGAAAGATGCCCAATCCTGCAGTAGCCTCAGGAAAAGGTTCCGATTTGCTCCATTCGCTTGACAATCGGGGATTTTTGAGCTCACAAGTGCACCCCCCCCCCGACACAGAAGCAAATGCAGTCCAGCTTTCTCTTCGCAAGAATCGCTTGCACCCATCGGAGCCTCTCTTCCACCCCCAGCCTGCTGCCCAAACACTTTTTAAAGTAGTCTGCAAGCCAATAATAATATATTTTTTTAAAAAAATGTTTTTATGTGTTTAGTGACCACCACTTGTTTGCTTCCTTTACAAAACTTAAAGAAAAGCAGAGGACTTCTTATGGGCTGCCATATTTCACAGGAAAGAACTCAATTCTTTCCTTGAAAAATATATATTATCCATACATACACACACACAAACACACAGTGCTTACAAATACTATACAAGCAAATATATACACCCAAGAAACTTTCTGCCCGCTTGGTAACTTTTTTTTGTTTTGTTTTGCTTTTTCTATTTTAATAAAGAGAGTGTTTTATTTTAGTATTAACCAAGAGAAAGCTTGATATAAAGACATGGAACTTGTGCCATTTTAAGCAAATGATTATTTTTGTAATGCTCCTACACTTTTAAAAAGGGAGGAATTGTAACATTTTGAGGTACATGGGAAAGGGAGGTTCAGGGTGCATGTTCTGTACACATATTACTGGTTGTGCAAGGATGTATAAACAGGGATTTTCAAGATGGCAGAACCGGTCATATTATTCCATGGGATTTTTAAAAGGAAAGGTGTAATATTGTATTCACATGTCCAAAGATGCTTTTCTACATGGAAAAAAACCCTGAAGATCAGCCTATGCTTTCCTCCACCTCTTCATAATTTACATTTGATACAGTACAAATGTCAGGTGACAAGAGAGCCTTAATGAAGCACAAATCACCCATACCCCTGTATAAGACCTCTTGCGAGAAGAGATCACTTTTGCATAAGGCACCATTATTAAGGTCAACAGTGCATTAACAGCTAGAAAACCAGAAATTAAGAGACCTCAAGGCATAAATAAAAGAGAAAAGGAACAAAAAAACAAAACCCCAACATAGCTGCATGAGAATTTTCTTTTCTTTTCTTAAAAAATATTACAGTTTCTAACCTACAGTGGTTTTATCCACCCAACAGGACAAAAAAATAAAAAAATAAAAATCCAGGATCTGTATGTTATGTAACATTAAACCAATTGCATTGTAGCAGCTTTTTAACTGGAATTGAGAGAGGGGGAGAGAAAACAAAAGAAATACCTGCAAGTCCTGATTAAAGAATGGAAAAGCATATAGTTCCCCAGAACCATGCAATAATCTTTGTATTATAATGAAAAAGTTATAGGTTGTGTTATATTGTAAATACACAGCTTATACAATGGATTACAAATGAGCTCTGTAGCAAGTAAAACAAGCTACTTGACACATTGCACATTTAAGAGCTGGACCAGACACCAAAAGCTCCTCTCACACAGGATAGGGGCCCCTCCCTCCATTCTGGTGTCCTGACTCGCCACCCCCTCCCCTCCATCTTCCCCTCCCTCTTTCTTTTTCTTCCTTTTTTTTTTTAAAGGTGCAGACACCCCTTTCGCCCCGCCCCTTGGAAATGATTGATCGCTCCTTTCTTGCGGCATACTCCTCACATACGCAAATGATTCCCCCGCCCTCCCCCATTCAGCTGACCTTTCCTCTCTCTCTCTCGCTTACGGTTATAAAACAACCACGAGGAACGAAACGGAAGGAAAATGAAACAAACAAACAAAAAGTATTCATGTGCCTCAGCATACAGTCGCCCAGTACGATCCTCAATAACATACAGTCGTCCAATCATTAACATTCTCAGTGCACGTGCTCACGGCAGAAGGCGTAGAAGGTTGGGTGCCAGCGTACGAGACCCACAACCGTGCGGTCGCTATGCCGTTTCCTTACATGACTTGTTTAGCCCTCAGAAGACCTTCCAAGGAAGAGAGGCCCTGGAGGCAACTGGGTTAGGGTGCAAAATGGCATGCTTTGGCTGGAACACGCATCCCTTCTTTCAAGGCTGGTTGACCTCGAAGCCTCTTAGCCCACAGGATTCGACCTCTTCACCCACTCAGAGATGCCTCTTCATGTGCAGGGCCAGGTGGTCGGACCTGGAGAAACACCTGTCAACGGAGAAGAGGGGAGAATTTTGAGGACTATCTTCCTATAGGTGAGTGAATCGGGTTAGACCAGGAGGAGTTAGCATGGCTTCCTCCAGATGTTGCAAGACTATGACTCTGCTTGTCCCATTCCACTGGCCATGCTGGACTGATCCAATAACATCCGTATGGCACCACATTGGGGACTGCTGTGCTAGGTTATGAGGCCCTATAGGTCCATCCGAGAGACACAGAATTTGATTTGGGAGACCCAAGTGCAAAGCCCTTTGGAATCCTATTGTACCCCAGCCTTACTATCATCAGTTGCAACGGAGGCAAATATTACAGAGCACCTTTACGGAGCATACTTAAAACAAAAACGACGTGCAGAATTAACTCCACTGCAATCTGTGTGACTTGGACTGGTTTGTGCAACCTTGGGGCAGAGAGATAGGTTGTCAAGTAGGTGAACAGAGGAACAGAATGGTCACTCCGCCACTTGGCCAGAATGCAAAATGCTGTGTCAAAGCAAAGTATGCAGAGTGGCACCACAGTCACGTTCTCAGTCACTCACCAATCGGGCTGACATTCATATCCTGAAAGGAGCTTGGAATGGGATGCAAGGGTCACAGCAACCCCATGAGACAGACTAGGCTCATCTAAATCAATCCAAGCGAGCATCCTGCAAGAATCTTAGCCTAAGTTCACAGCACCTGCTAAAATAACTCTTTGCAATCCTTTTCCAATAACTCATTGTGACAGAAGGCTGGTGCAAAAGAGACCCAAACGAAGATGGCTAAGCAGAAGAGCTATTTCTTAGAAGACATAAACTGTCTTGGAAGTTTTGGAGGAAAGGGAAGGTGACTCACAGAATACTAGGAGTTGGGAGAGAGACCACCACGGGGACCAAGTCCGCCTCTTTATAATGTGACCATAGCTATACCATAGCAACCCAACCCAACCCAACCCAACCCAACCCTTCTAAGATGTTCACTGAAAGAGACCCTACAGACTGCTCCTCCTCCTGTTAGCTTCTTCCGCTTTCCTCCTGATGTCAGCATCAGAAGTCACTCTATTATTTAACCTGTATCCATGCAGACACTATCTAAAATGCATTAACTTCAATCCACTTAATTCTGGGAGTATTTCCACTGGAATTTCAAGTAGGCTGTTCTGAAATATGTAACTGGAAACGTTTTTACTTTAAGCAGAGGCAGAATTGATTCACCTGATCAGACTTATTTCTCTCTCTTTTTGCACTGTTAGAACTAAAAAGCTACACTGTTGCTGATCACTGAAGCTGGATGCTTCCTTTGAAAAGCTCCGGTGCAATGGGATAAAGCTGATACTTGATGAAACTGCCTGCGCCTTGGTGGCTTCATCAATGTGGAGGGCTTAAGTCATTGCTTCCCATGGAAGCACCGGGGAGGAGGGAGGTGCAGGGGTTATTAAAAGAGAGTGTCCATTCACGTACCTGTCACAGTGACTACATTTAAAAGGCTTGGCACCCGTGTGCTTTCTGAAGTGTCTGGTTAACTCATCACTCCTCGCAAAACGCCACTCACACCCTTCCCATGAGCATCTGTAAGGCTTTTCTCCTGCAAATAAAACATACCAAAGATTATTAACCGTCCGTTTCTCTCTCCAAGCAAAGATGAATATTGATTCATTTGTTTTTAACATAGGAAATAAGGCCACTCAATTTAATTCACAACAGCACACTAAGTACTTCCGAGAACGCTGATGGAGAATTTAGATGTTTCTGAGCTGACAGCTTTGCTGCAACAGCAAAACATCAAGCCTTGACTGGAAAACATGCCAGTAATGTAAGCCTTGTGCAGCTGCATCCTAGGAATTCTCTGAGTGTTTAGAATATAGGCTTGTAAAATCACCACTAACCTGGTCACCTAGGGCGAATAAGAACTGCCTCCAAATGCCCAGATTCTTATAGAAGTTTAATAGAAGTTGGTTCTCTATATCTTTTAGGCTCAAAACAACTGATATAGACCATGCTTGGAGGTCTCCTGCGCTAGTAGCTTTTGTGGACTTCCTAGGTTAAACACAATAGCAGCAAATTATGGGTTGCACGCTCCAAATTTTACTCATAGACTAAACCCACTGAAAACAATGGAGTTGAGTTAGTTAGGCCTAATTTGCACCCATGGATTTAATAGGTCTTCTCCAAGTATAACTTAAGCACACACAACCCAATATATATTGGGTTCACCTATTAGATACATAGGTTAGGCCTATCAATATTGGATGGTAATGAGAAACCTAACCTACAAATTTGGGGCCATTCAAAAGGGAGAATTATTATTAACCATTATTAAGCCAGAATGTTTGGATGCCAGCCTCAATCCTGACAATATGGGAAAGCAAATCTTAGACCAGGCATCCCCAAACTCGGCCCTCCAGATGTTTTAGGACTATCATTCCCATCATCACTGACCACTGGTCCTGTTAGCTAGGGATGATGGGAGTTGTAGTCCCAAAACATCTGGAGGGCCAAGTTTGGGGATGCCTGTCTTAGACTCTCCAAAGGTTCCATTCCATGTTTTTCTATCGCTCTAGAAATCTAGCGAGTGTGAAAATGTCTGTCCCCGAATTGTGAAGATCTAATTGCTTTGCCCACACAGCCAACCACCTTCCCCATGACTACGTGGGTCAAAGTGGGCTAGGGTAAGGTGCGGAGAGCAGAGAAAAAACAACAACACAGAATTTCCCAATCCTTTGTCATTCAGATGTTTTAGACTGCCAGGCCCCAGTGAGCATGGTCAACCATCAGGGATGATGAGACTTGTTGTCCAAAACACATGGAGAGCAGCAGGTTGGGAAAGGCTACAGTGGAGAGCAAAACCACCTTCAGCAGCAGATCATAAAAATGCATTCTGGTCCAGAGATTCTGGTTATAAGATTCTATGGCTTAACACTATTTGTTTGATTACTGCAGAATAACGGGCATATGAGAGGTAAGCTCCCTCGCTCACCAGGCTGCGGAAGCATAGAACAGATCCATCTTTTTTTGTATTCCCCTCTTCAAACGGTGAAAAGAATATCTTTGAAGAGGAGACCTCTAAGCTGTTTGTCTCAAGGTGCAGAATCTCGCTCTGCACCTTGAGCTGGAGATTGGTATGCCAGCCAGCAGCTCTGCACATCTAACCACAGTCATCAAGCACTCTAGAATATTAATGTCAAAAAGCAACTACTTTCACTATGAAAAATTTATAGAAACCCTGGAGTGCCTGCCCGCTTCAAATCCTTTCAAGTTAAGCTAGGGAACTGGGTTTTGTTTTGTTTAAATCTAGGTTTCATACTAGTAAAATCCTGTTTGCTTAGTGTTAGCAAAACCACATGATAATGAAACGCTCTTAAAGTCCGCCATTGTCTTTATGATCATAAACATCTCTCTCAAAAGATCATTTTACTTCTGTCAATGCACACACAGCTAGCTTGAGGCAAGTCCAGCAATTAAGGGAACTAGTTACTCTTCTGCTATTAAATGAATCAATGAGGAATCTGTCCTTCAGAATCAGGACAAAAATCTCCAATTTCTGAGAAATGTTTCCATTTCCTTTTGCTGTTGCTGAGTTTCAAAGCTAGTTCTCTGTTGTTGTTTTTTGTTGTTTTTGAGGGATTCCCTCCAACTCCTTGGAAAAACAATTTAACAATTGTGCATCTTCTCAAGCACCAGCTAATTACAAAACAGGAACCAAACATGTGCAAGAGAGAGAAAAGTTAACTAGCCTCATCCAAGCTTTGCACATAGAAGCTTGCAACTGGCTAATGCAGAACAAAAATGAGGAAGTGATGCCTTGCATTTTGGAAACCTCAGCTGTTATTGCATCATCTGATGGCCCCAAGCTCTTGCTCCAGAAATTGCGTAACATTATGACACTATTAGCATCAAGGGTTTTCCTTACAGTTATCACCAGCCAAAGTCAGACATGAAGCTAAATCCAGATGGGTTGCCTAGAATAAGGGACAAAAACTTCTGCTGAACTGTAGATCAGAGATGGGGAACCTATGGCCTTCCAGATATTGATGAACTACAACTCCCATCATCTCTGGTCACGGGTCATGCTGGCTGGGGCTGATAGGACATGGGAGTCCAGCAAACATCTGGAGGAACCATATGCTCTCCATGTCTGCCAGCCCTAATAATGGCATCCTGGTGCATAGTTCTGCTGGCCATGGACAGCAAGGGAAGGGGAAGAGAAAGAGGATGATGCTGTCATTGAGAACCAGCCACCAGCTGAAGTATTAAGCAGAAGTCCTATAGAAATCATATGTGATGGTGAACACCATTAGCCTGCCACATCTTAGGGCCCAAGCCATGGAAGTTTTGACACACATCCTAGTAAGAGAAAGCTACCTGCCAGTGCTATAGGAACAGGAAGCAAATGGGGTCCCCCTTATTACATTTATATCCTGCCTTTCTTCCATGATGGAACTGTAAACAGTGTTCCCAGAAGGCCTCCTAGCTCATTGCTGACTGGTCACAGACCTTCTTAACTGCACCAAAGACTCCATATCTTGTGGCTTCAGATCACAGCCAAGTGGGATGCGACAAGGTGTGCTTGTACCCACACATGAACAAACAGCTGAGGCTACCCTAGCATGCCCCAGTTTTGTTTTCTTCCATAGAAAACACAAAGTGACCACTATTTGGATCGCCCAAGACCAGATGTTTGGATCACCCAGTGGAGAAGATCTCACCTGTATGGGTACGTTGATGTGCTTTCAGATGTGAACTTTTGGTGTAAACCTTTCTGCACCCATTGAACTGACACCTGTGGATCCGCCGCCTCCCATCCGGAGAGGCATCGCCGTTCACTGAGGCACCCTTTTCTGCAGTCTTTCCACCACTACCAGTACGAATTTTGCCCGGCGAATGCAATTCACCAGGCGCAGAATTCCACGGTTGGGAAGAAGCTTCCTTCCCCAACTCAGGGGAGGAAGGAGGAGTCGACGTGACAGATGAACTCAAGTTTCCTGTACTGGTCAAGCCCAAGACATCACTAATGGGATCAGATGTAAATTTTGTTGTAGGCGAAAGTTCCTCAGAGCTGTCAGAAGATTCACTGCTGATGTCAGAATTCAAGCTGTTAGTCTCTAAACTCTGAGTCTTTACGCTTTCCTCCTTTGGAACACACGTGGCCTTCTGTTCAGATTCCTCCTTTTTCTCACGTGCCAAAATAATTTTGGTCCACAGATCCTCTTGACTGTCAAATTTTATCTCAGAGGCAGATACGTAGCAAGGCTCGCTCTGAAGGTATCGTTCCAGCTCTAAGCACGTCTACAAAAAATTAAACACAATAAATTAAAATTAAATCTCTTTTTATAAAAAAGAAAAGTGCAAAGCTATAGAAGCCATTCTCCAGAAACATCAACCAAACCATGTGTGTGCAAAGGATGGGGTGTTTATTTCTGGTTGCTAGGCTCCCTTAAAGTAATAGGCCACTCAACCCTCATTTAATGACTGTTACAGTAAACAATGCAGTTCCCAAGAACTGGGCTGGAGTTCAAACACACATAGAAAGAGTTCAAATCCACCTACATTTTCCAGCCATTACTCTTATTGTGTGAGCTGAAAAATCATCTCCTAGAAAGGAGATGTTCAATGGGTTGGCTTGGAAGTGACTCTGTTCTCGCCCCAACCTCCCAGTTTTAATCAGGCCTTTCTACACTTTCCAGTATTTTATTAAGTAAGAGGGCTTCCAAGTGAATTGTGTGATCTCTGCAGAAAGTTGTCAAGCTAGACTTCCACCGAGCTGACAGCATCAGCGCTCTGAACTCAAGAAACATGTGCGGTTGCGGCAAAGTCATGATCCATATTCAAGGGGAACCCACCAAGCCAGCCCATTTCCTGCAGATGAAAACTCAGCCTAAGGGAGACGTTCAAAGAATGCCAGTTCTTCCAAGCACACTGGCATGAGTTTTGCGTAACTTGGAACAATTCTGGTAGAAATGATAGCGGCCTAAGGAATTTCGGTGAACAAAACCTTTCAGAATGATAATGCGATGCTGAGAAGAAGAAGAAGAAAGTTTTGAGAAAATGGGATTGCAGGGAAAGCGGTGAAAGGAGAAATAAAACTTTTCGAGGTCCTGCTGGGAGCCCCACATTGAAGAATTTTATCTACTGGCCAAGAGCACAACCGTATGAGTCATCTCCCTATTTCTTTCACTCAATGCCAAAAGAGACTTCCTTTTAAAATCCTGAACTTCTGCCAAGAAAGTACACGGTTCAGATAGACATGCAACGGGCCATGTAGAATAAAATGAAATAAAGTAAGCTATCCTCCCTGCTGCAATAGGAGACAAGCAACCCTCCGAGTGACACAAATGTGTTTCCAAATTCCTAACAAACTAAAGAGAACTTTGGAAGAAATGCAAGCATTTATCTCTCTCTTTTTTGGGGGGTGGGTGTCTATCAGTGCACACTTCATTTCCCCTTCACTATCATCCCCATAATTAAAGATCAGCATGTTAATGGAACTAAATATATAAGGGGGTTGTGTGTGTGTTTATGGGCAAATATATCAGACTCCATAGTTACCTTATTTTAAGCAGGAACCCCCCCCCCCCATATCCCCATAAGCAAAGCTGACTCCAAAAGCAAATGTCACACATTTCACTCTCTTAAGTGTCAACTTAATGGGAGTTTCTGTCACAGTATGTTGCTGATTTTTACACTTCTCCCCCATCTGTTTAGGCTCTACTCCTAAGCACACTTACCTGGGAGTAAGGACCACTACTGACCTATGGGGCTTGTTTCAGAGTAAGCATGCCTAGGTTTTGACTGACCATTTCTCCCCTCTTGTTAACTGAAGGTTGGGCCAAAAAGTGGGAGAGACTGCAAGCTTAATCAATATTTATCGGTTTCCCTATAATTAGGGAACTGATTTGCAGTGCACTTCAAAAATAAAACAAGACACATCATTTCTATAAGGAAACAGGAAGGGAATTGACAGAAAGGGGCAGGTTCAAATTTCTGATTCAGGGTGGATTTAAAATTCCCCCATTATGCAAATCAGCCTGAAGGACTGGCCTGAAGCTCCGAAGGAGGTTTTGAAATTATTCAAAAGGCTACAGTGGGATCCATATCTAGCTCTGGGTTACAATCCCCGAAATGCCTGAAGGAAAAACTATTTAGATCACTTTCAATTCCATACTGTTGGTGCTGCCTTGGAAAGAAAAGAGAAAGAAGGGGGGATGGAGGGGGGAATTGGAAATGGGGAATTTCAAAACATGCACAAGGTTTCAACCTTCTTGATAGGTTCTCAGGCTTTACAAACAAAACCTCCAGACTGATTTGATCTGGGTACTCAGCTGGGCTTAAAGAGAGAGAGAGAGAAGGAGCAAATATCACAGCTAGGGGAAGAGGCAAGTAAGTAAACACTCTCTCTTCACTTACACCACCCCCCCTCCAAGGGGGGAAAATCCAAGACAATGCAAAAACAATCTTGTTTCCAAGCAAACCAATTACTTGTACTAACAAACAAGCGCACCCCCCCAAGAAAAGAAAAAAACCATGTCCATTAAAGGCAACAAGCCTCCCTCTTTCCCTCCGCTAGGAAGACTCACAGCAATTAAAAAGGGGGGGAGGAGAAACAAAACAGTATCATTGTCATATGACTGACAACTCAGGAGGGGGGGTGGCGGGTAAGACAGAGGGGAAAATAATAATAATAATTAATGGTTAACATGCAGCAGGGAGTTAGAAGGCTGGCAATTCTGCTAAGGAAAATAATACGGGGGGGGGGGGAGATTATTTTTTAAAAATCCAATTTCCAACCATTTCTCTCCCCCCCCAAAAAAAAGTGGGGGTGTAAAAAAACACCAAAAAACCCGGTGGAAATGAAAGACAGTTTGGATGACAAGACCCAGTTGTAGTGTTTGGATCTGCTTCAAGGCGGGGGAGGGGGGAGAGAGAGAGGAGAGACAACTTTGCCAGGAACTAGATCAAGCAAAATGCAAAACGCAGGACTTGCGGATTTATGCTATTTATTTTTTTGTGGCAACATTTCGCTTGTTGTTTTGATGGCACACACACACACACACACACACACACACACAGAGAGAGAGAGAGAGAGAGAGAGAGAGAGAGAGAGAGAGGACAGGCATTCAGAAATACACCAGCCACTCTCCAGAAGCTGTGACAGCGGCGCTGGGCATAAACAGCACTTCTCCCGGTAGCGAGCAAAAACAAGCATGCACGGCATAAAAAACCCCAGAAAGCAGATATAACAAACAGTGTTGCACAGCAGCCCAAACAAACACACTTGCTTGAAACAATAACGTTACTATTTAAAAATAAAATAAAAAAAAAAGATTCCTGCAGGAAGCCTTCCTAAAAGGCAAGCCTCTAACCTCGTTTATCAGTGTTGCTCCGAATTAAAAGCAACGTTTGCCCAGCACAAGCAGATATCCTTCGGTTTACCTGTTGCCAATATTCCTCCAGAGATGGTAAAGCAGAGAAGTAACCAGTGTCGTGGACAATTTGGAGTTCCTGAAAGATGCTACACATTGGAAGCACATCCATGGTTTTTTTTGTTTTGTTTTTTTGTTTTCAAGGGGAAGGGGGGAAAAGAAGTTGCAACAAATAAACCCTCCACAGGGTCAACGTCCGATTGCAATGTGTCTCGTCGTAAGGAAGAAGAAAAAGCACAAGTATCAACACCGCTACAGATGTTTCTCAGCTGCTACCGCTGCTGCTGTCGTCGGTAGTCGTGATGGCAGGTGATGGCGAGAGAAATACGACCAGCTATTTACAAAGTCCCACTTCCTCCTCCTCCTCCTCCAGAGGGAAAGACGGCCACAAAGAAGAAGACAGGTTTGTTTTTTTCCTCTTTCAAAAATAAAAATAATTATATATTAAATTCCTCTTCGGCAGTTCAGATGCAAAGGGTATTTTTTTAAATATAGTAATAATAAAGCAAAAGTTTCATGCAAAGTTTAATTGCACAGCAATATCAAGGTATGGATATATATATACATAGATCTATTTATATATATATATATATCTTGCAGTCTCCAAAATGCAGCTGCTGCTGGTAAATCTTGCTTTCCACTCCTGGGGTTCTCTCCAGAAGATACTTGCTCAGGAGCCTACTCAATATTTGCAAACACTGAGATGACTGCGAATGTAACCCCCAGCAAAACTTCCCTATTCAAAGCTCTCCTTGGCCACAACCTCCTCCTCTTTCTACTCCCCTCCTCCTTCTACTCCCTCCCTCTTTTCGGCTCCCCCCTCCCTCGCGCTCCCAGCTACTCTCGCCCCGCCCCCTTTACTCCTTCTCCTCCACCCCCCCCTCCCTCCGCCACCTCGTGATCCCATTACGCCGGCTCCGAGCGCTGCCCAATCTCGAACAACAAAACTCGTTACACCGCGTTCCAATGATGTCAGAGGAGCCCAATGGGCGCCCGCGACGCATCCCGGCTCCTCCTGGCGTGACCGAACCTCTCCGTGACGCCGCGCCCGATTGGGCCGATTCGAAATTCGAGCCGCCCTGATTGGCCGGCCGCGCGGCAGGCTATTTTTAGAAGGGTATATAATGCCGGGGAGCCTGTTTTAGAGAAGCGACTCGGAGCGAGAAGGGGAACGTTTTGCTTGTTGTTTGCGGTTGCTAGAGAAGGAGAGGGGAGGAGGGGAGGTTGCAGTGCTGAGCGTGGCGTCCGGGGGCGCTGCTGAGCCGCGCAGGAATAGCAGAGGAAAGCTGAATCGCCTTAGACGTTGCAACAAGCTTTTTACCAAGGGAAACTGGGAGGGGGGTTGTCATTACACGTGGGTAACGTTTTCTTACGTGCATTGTCTCCCGTGCATTCCCCACAATGCATCAGAATTATGCTCCTGGCGTTCAGCGGTGCAGTTTGCAGGAGAAATCGATTCCCCTAGCCCGAAAAAAAATAAATGGTTTCAACTTTAATGCGTGCTTACTCGGAGGAAAGTCGCACCGAATTCAAAAGGGTTTTTTTCGATTTGCCAGCAAGCGAAGGCTTGGAGAGTGTAAGCCTCGCTGAATGCGCGGGGACTTGCGCTTAGTGGGGCTGCACTGTAAATGGATATTTGTTGCAGCGCTGCTTAACTAATGCTGGCTTCTGTCAGGAGATCATTTGCTACACAGCAGCCCCTTAACTGCTTTAGGAAAAAAGGAGCTGTAATGGATGGTGGCGGTGGTTTCTTTAAAAAAGAAATCTAGTTTTGCGTTTGCCACCCCCAGCTCTGCTAACTATCTGCCCTAACCCTTGTGAATCTCGTTTCTTCAGTTTCATGGTGGTTTCGTTTAGGAAGTGCTTCCCATGAAAGCACCTGGAAGCGTAAAAAAATATATCTAAAACCATTTATATATATTTAAAAAATAATTACACCCCATGTAATGTTTGCCTCTACAAAAAAAGAATTACATACATGAAAGCAACTTCAAATCCATTAAAGAGCCTGACTGACAGAAAAATCTCCACTTAGAAGAAAGCATTCCTCGCAGGGTTGTTGTGAAGAGAACCAGACATCCCATTTTGAGCTTCATGGAGGATGGGTGGGGTAAAAATGTAATAATTAACCCCAGGGATTTGTTTATTGCATTTCATAGAATTGTATAGTTGGAAGGGACCCAGAGGTTTTCTAATCCAGCTCCTTGCAATGCAGAATTCAGAGATAAATAATGGGATGGGATGATGGGAGTTGTAGTTCAGTAGCACCTGCCAAGCCAAAGGTTTGTACACCAGCTGTATCTCAATCACCAAATGACTGCCCTCCTACAGTGCTTCATTTGTTTAAATGAGGTTGCTGTGGACCTCAGAGTTAAAATAGAGATTTCTAGCAAACCAACAATATGTTCTCATGTACCTGTCACCAGTTATGGGGTCAGCTGTCTTACTTTTCATCTTCCCTGCCTCAACTTCTCAATTGTTCAAAAAAATGTAGATATATTTAACCATGTCTACTCAGAAGAAAATCCTATTGAGCTCAGTGGCACTTACTCCCATGTAAGTAGGGTTGACATTGTGGGCTAAGACTGCAGCGCCCATCCCACTTACCTGGAAGTAAGCCCTGTTGAATTAAGCAGGACTTACTCCTGAGTAGCAGTTCGAAAGCACGAAGTTCAAGTAGATAAATAGGTACCGCTCTGGCGGGAAGGTAAACGGCGTTTCCGTGCGCTGCTCTGGTTCTCCAGAAGTGGCTTAGTCATGCTGGCCACATGACCTGGAAGCTGTACGCTGGCTTCCTCGGCCAATAAAGCGAGATGAGCGCCACAACCCCAGAGTCGGTCACGACTGGACCTAATGGTCAGGGGTCCCTTTACCTTTTTACTCCTGAGTAGACATGACAGGGATTGCTCTAACTACCAGGGGTCTGATTTTCCCCTACTGAAGTGAACCGCCAAATGTCAGGTCTGGGTAAAAGACCTGGGTCAAAAGCAGATCCTCATGATTTTTTCACAAGATGTCACCATAATAATGATAATAACTCATAATAAGCACTATCTCTTTTGTGAATGGATTTTATACAAATAAATAGTGTGACCGCACTTGGAATATTGTGTACAGTTCTAGTTATAATACTTCAAAAAAGATACTATAGAGCTGGAAATGATGCAGAAAAGGACCCTCAGTGTTTGGTTCCAAAAGATTTTACACACCGCTGTCTCTGAAAAACTTAACTCATTTGCTGAGACTTTCATGAGCCACAGCCAAATCAATGGGTTATGCAGCAACACGGTGGATGTTTATAATTTATATCAAGAGACAAACACATGACTGGCAAGTTCCCACACAATTTCATTTTATTTGACTATGCACCAAAACTCAATGTCCTTTACCCCTTGGTACTTCTGTGGTGCTGATAATTTCCTACCCATGACTACATTGCTAATTTCCCATGCTGTTTCCATGTTTTGAGTCATATTTTATTATTGTTATTATTTCAGAGCTTAAATGGCAAGCCATTGTCCTGGTATATTATACTGGAATTTATGTAAAAGTTAATCTGATTGATTAATAAAGGGAGGGGGGATGTTGGAATCATTTCCCAGTGAAGGAAGGTTATAGCAGCATTAACCAATCCAGATGTCCTCTTTTACTGAGCATTTATCAGGATTTGTCCCCGTGATGTTATCAGTGCTAATATATGATTCTCCCTTCAATACTATTTTTGCCTGTTTATACTGTTTATCTGGATGCAAGAAGTCTCAGGGCATAAACTTTCAACAGTGATTTCTTATTTGCAATGTTTTGAAAAAGGAAAAACTATTTGGTTATTGGGGCACAGTGGATTGCTCCCTTTATTGATGAGGCCATCACAGCTATTGCTATCCATGTTTGCCTCAGTTACCAGCTTGCTAAGGACACAACTGGAGTCCTGATCATTTATAAATGAGATGGGGTGGGATGCACATGATCCTATATCTCATTGCTATGGAAACTTGTAGATCTGCAGAACTAGCACTTTTACAAGTGCAACATAGAATCATAGAATCCTAGAGTTGGAAGAGACCACAAGGGCCATCGAGTCCAACCCCCTGCCAAGCAGGAAACACCATCAGAGCACTCCTGACATATGGTTGTCAAGCCTCTGCTTAAAGACCTCCAAAGAAGGAGACTCCACCACACTCCTTGGCAGCAAATTCCACTGTCGAACAGCTCTCACTGTCAGGAAGTTCTTCCTAATGTTTAGGTGGAATCTTCTTTCTTGTAGTTTGGATCCATTGTTCCGTGTCCGCTTCTCTGGAGCAGCAGAAAACAACCTTTCTCCCTCCTCTATGTGACATCCTTTTATATATTTGAACATGGCTATCATATCACCCCTTAACCTCCTCTTCTCCAGGCTAAACATGCCCAGCTCCCTTAGCCGTTCCTCATAAGGCATCGTTTCCAGGCCTTTGACCATTTTGGTTGCCCTCCTCTGGACATGTTCCAGTTTGTCAGTGTCCTTCTTGAACTGTGGTGCCCAGAACTGGACATAATGTGTGTTCTGCACTTCTGAGAAATCTGACTTTTAGTATGACAGCTCTTAACCTCTGCAACTCTCTGCCTTTTGATATTAGACAAGGGCCATGGTTGTAAGTGGTTGCATGTTAAAAACTTTTTTGTTTGGACTGGGCTCAGATTTTAAATTTTATTATGTCCATTTGTTTGCTGTATTGACTTATCTGTATTGCGATAATTTTATCGCATTGTATCCAACAAAGACATTAGTGCAAGGACTTCTGCCTGTGCAACAGTGCTTCGTCTCCGCACATCACCCCCAAAATCTGTTCTGGTTTTTCCCCCTGATTCTCTAGAGCAGATTTATGGGAGAGGGACCTGCAGCCACAAGAAAGGCAGAGAAAGTCCTATTGAGCAGATGGAACTCATTTAGAGTCTAAACCTCTCAGGGAAACGCAATGATTAAACAGCATATAAATCTTGTAGAATAAAATAATACTGGAAAAGTAGGGCTCTGGATTGCACTGGGGAAACTATGTTGTATTCTGTGTTCTGTCTTGATGACCATAATGGCTCAGGTGGGGAGGAAAAGGTTACATGTTAAGGCATCCTTAAGAAAATACCAATAGCTTGGGGGGGGGGGTGAGGAGAAAGATTTTTTTCAGTTTGCGTTTAATAGCAAATTTACCGAATTCTCACTTTGTAAAACAGTGTGTGAACTGAAACACAGCCTTCCTTTGAAATTCACCCTTCTTCAAATTTTGCAGTTAAGTTATCCAACCAAGTGATGTGTATAAAAATGCACAAAGTGTGCATATATTCATGAAAATAACACACAAAAAATACTTTGTTAGGGGAAATTGCTTTGCACAAAATTTGTGGATGTTAGGGTAAAATTGCAGTGAAATGCTGAGGAATTTTCATGAAGGCTTTTTTTTTAGGTAACTGATGTGCTAAAGTGGAGAACCGACCTTAAGACAGTGAAAATGAGAAACCGAAATTGACATATTCTCTCATCCCTTGAAAGGCGCATTGCTACTGGGATTGCTGCCTTAGGCCCCCCTTTCTAGTATGTGACAGCTTCCCCCCAGTGTCCTTCAGCAATGTTGAGTCCTGGCCAAAATAAATTGGAGAAGAGGGACAGTCTGCTGACATACCCCCAGCTTCAAACCTCTGTGCTCTGAAGATTTGGGAGGTCTACCTCCCTTGAGAGCTAAGCTGCTTGCATTCTGCAGCGGTGCCAGTCTCCCAGTAATCCCCAAAGGCAAACGACTGGTTGTTATGTGAGTGTATTTGGTTATGGAAATGTCTCCCTCTGTCCCACAGCAGCTTGTAACAAAGGTGTTTGCATATCGTCGGTATCATAGTAATTATTACTACTTTGGCTCTTGGTCCTGTAAGTAGTCCCAACAGAGAGTTATCACCAGCGGTGAGACAACATGATTTATTGCCGCCGTCCACAACAACAACAAACTGCATGGATGTGTATAAGAAAGCTTTGAAACGCTGGGGCAGGGTTAAAACGTTTGGAGGTAAATGCCACAGCAGACATGGAGTCTATGAAACCCAGTGGGATAGTTAGGCTCAGAACTGAGAAATAGAGAGGTGGGTGTTCTGTCTTGCAGGGCTGTGATGTTTTCTCGGTCCCCTGTGATTTGTGGAGCATCATCTGATCCTAAAAAATAAATTGCACCTGGTTTCGATCACATAGATGTTCAAATGGCACCAGGAGTTACCCAAATACCTGTTTAGCAGAGCTGATTATTCTCCGCTAGAGCCTTTATTGGTGATGATAGATTTGCTCCCATTATTCAGGCCCCACCATGCTTGAGAGGCTGCTCAGCTAGCATTGTTGTGACAACAATTGACAGAAATTTTATTGGATTTTTTCTCGTGCATACTTCCTGGGTTCAGCACTGTCTGTGGAAGCATACACAACATCTGTGCTTAGGTAAAGGGACCCCTGGCTGTTGCGCTCATCTCACTTTATTGGCCGAGGGAGCCGGCGTACAGCTTCCGGGTCATGTGGCCGGCATGACTAAGCCGCTTCTGGTGAACCAGAGCAGTGCACGGAAACGCTGTTTACCTTCCTGCCGGAGCGGTACCTATTTATCTACTTGCACTTTGAAGTGCTTTCGAATTGCTAGGTTGGCAGGAGCAGGGACCAAGCAACGGGAGCTCACCCCGTCGCAGGTATTCGAACCACCGACCTTCTGATCGGCAGCCCTAGGCTCTGTGCTTTAGACCACAGCGCCACCCGTGTCCCAACATCTGTGCTTAGGAGTGCCTTTTATCATCTTAGATTGCATGCTGTCTCAATAATCCATGTGTTGGTCACAGCCAAGTTAGACTACTGTAATGCACTGTATTCAGTGCTGCCTTCAAAGATGATGTGGAAACGCCAACTAGAGCACAATGCAGCCCCTTTTGATCCTTTGTGTTTTAATGCCCCATCAGCCAGACTTTTATCTCAACAAAGGAGACTAGCCTGGCGTAATTAGTTTTTGACACTTGCTGATTCCAGGGGAATAGAAGCGTCTAGTACAGGGGTGGCCAACTCTCAAGTGACTGTGGTCTACTTACAGAATTAAAAACTGGCAGTGATCTACCCCCTGTTTTTGGGGGGGTTCAGGTCAAAGTTGTTGAGCTTTTTTATGGAGGAGCCATATTTTTTAAGAGTTTTGGGGAAAAAAGAGGAACCAACAAATCGCTGGGGAAATGGCCACACTGAGTAAACGCCATCTTCCATTCTTCAGATTGTGCAACAATGGAGGAGGGGGCGGGGGTGGGTTCGATTTTACTAATGCTAAGGAAAGGGACCCAGCGATCGACCGCGGTCTACCAAAACCTCCCAGGGATCTACCAGTAGATCACGATCGACCTGTTAGACATCCCTGGTCTAGTACATAACTTAATGCACACCAGTCTGGTGCCAGTTTTTTAACACCCTGAGCCATGATTAAATTCTAACACTTACTGGTCCCAGGAATTTAGTAGTGTCTAGCACCCACAAACTCCTAATACTAGCTATAATATTTTCCCCTTTTGGCAAAAGTGGATGAAATTTACAGGTACAAGAACCCCTCCAGAGGGGATGAATCCTACAAAATTGCAGACAATAAAGCTCAGGAGCTTTGGGTGGGGAAAATAAAAGAGATTCACGCTCTTCCATAATCCCTTATGTGGGATTATTCTCCACACAGATAGTTTTTTGAGGAAGCATTCAGATAAGTGGTCCTCTACCCACATTCTGTAGCAGTAAAGTACCGGAAAGATTGTACCATGCATTTTGTGAGAAAAGTCATGTAAATAACACAGATGGAGTCCAGGGATAAAATAAATCTTAATCACTGAGGGCACTGGACAAAAACAGTGTACAATTTGAGGAGAGAGGAATTTGAGGAGAGTTTTTCAGACTTCAGGCCTTGTATTTAGCAGGGGGACACTAAAACACACAGAGGTAAAAACTCCCTCTGAATTACGCAGCCAATCAGAGCATATGCTATTCACAAGGGCACTCTGCACTCTGCTAATCAAGACTTCCACCCTCCTTTGGGTTATGCTTGCAGCCTGACACATAATGGCACAAATTTGTGACTAAATCTATGCGGTTACATAATTCTTATACTCTGTTGCCTGCTTCACAAAGGAATTAAAGTTATGCTAATATGCACAGGATTACTCTGAGTTCCAGGTCTTGCATGCACAGAACTAAACAGTAATTCTGCTGTGGGTGGGGCCACCATGTAAATGGTTATGAATCACGACAAACTACTGTCCTGAGCAGTCCCAGCCCAAGGAGGACAAACGGCTGGTAGTTTAATTTTTTATTGACAAAACACAGTCTTGCGGTAGCTCCTAAGGTGCACAGAACACACAAACGCTTCTGGCGACTAAATAGCTGCTGGCATCCCCTCCCCAAACTTGTACTCTGAGCTGGACTATTGGAGCAACAGCACAACCACTCCTTCACCCAAGCTTATGCACCTTTGTCTGATGGGGCGCACGCAGACGACCTGCAACAACTTCTGTGCAAAAGTTGCCACTGTCAGGGATTGGCTGGACAAAGAGGAGTGGTGGGAGGCACCAGCCAGGGACTCCTCATGGGAAACCCCAGAGGAGTGTGGCTCTGAGCCAGGGGATTGGTGATGGGACATGAAGGAGAGGTCAGAGGGAGAAGAGGGAGGGGCTGGATGCTGCAGGGGCAACAGGCTTTAGTGAGCAGGGAGAGCCCGTGACAGGGAGCAGTTCAGACCCAGAGGCTGGAGCAGAGGAGGAGGCTCAAGAGGCTGCTGCAGAATCCAAGGATTCTCCCCCTGCTGCTGTCACAAGCTCCCCTCCTCGCTGGTGTCCAAGAACATGCAGAATATTGAGGGCAGAACAGAGTCCAGAGGTGCACAGATGTCATTTGAGACTGCTTTGTAAACATACAAGAGAGGTGAAGCCTTAGAAAGGGTGGAAGGCAGGGACCTTCAGTCCTGGCAACTGCTCCCCAGGGGCAAGACCTACTGGGAAGTGTTGCTGAGTTGTTTGTCATTTCCTTGAATAAAGAGTTAACTTCACTGACAACGGAGCCTGCGTCTTTCATGCTGACCTCAGTGGCTCTAGCCCTGACAGCTGCAGTGCCAGTCTCTTCAGGCCCCTCTTGGTCCTGGGGGACAGCAGAGGGGACAGAGGGGGTTCTACTGCCCACCTCCTGGCACTATATTTTCCTCCATTCATCGTGTGTCCTGTTCTTCCTCCTACCTTGGCTCCTTCCCCACATCCTGCACCCATCCCTGATCCTGTCATGCTCAGGCTATTCCCCTGCCTCCAGCCCCCTAGCTCCTGCCTCATGGAAGGTACAAACCCCATAAATTGCTGTCCCCTTCCCTGGCTCAGCCCCTGGCCTTGCAGCCTTTGCCACCGGTTCCTTGGCACCCTGCCAGTCCCTGACAACTACCAAGATCTAATTTTATATCTATTTAGCGAGCGTTGAAGACATTTAATTTACGAGTCCCCAGGAAAACTGCCTGGGTGTTCTGATGTTCCTTGACTCTTTCAACAGCTGTACGTATAGTTCATAATTGCTAGAAAACAGTATGGTCCCTGATTCATAGGTAGGAAAAGAACTCCACATTTTTACATCATCTTGTATTATGTGGCATAGAGAAATGTTCTAGAGAAGGAACTCTGTCTGCTTTCTTGAATTCGATGTCTTAGTCCAGTTTTGCTCGGTTTTCCTCAATACCTCAAAGCACCTATGGAGTTACAGTTAAAGTGTACAGACATGGTACTCACAATAAGATGTTTGGGGAGATGTGTTTTGCACTGTGTACAGTTCCAGTTTTACTATGAAACCTAATACTTCAGTGAAAAATCTGGGGTGAGGTGGGAATTTTGCAGCAGAATACATTCATCCAGCCAGGAACCTCTGCAAAATGTCATTTCCTAAGGCCAGAATGTGAATATTGGGGCCTATAGCAGAACTGGATGTTTGAAACTTTCAGACGTCCTTTAAGGCAGGGGTGGTGAGCCTGTGGTTCTCAAGTGTCAGAAGCCAGAGTGCAGGAGTAGGTCTGTAATAAAATACCCAGTGTCAGAGAAGTTAACTTTTTAGTCAAAGAAACCAAAACAGTGCAGGCCTAGTGTTCACAGCAACCCTTCCCAGTAGGTCTTGCCTCAATGAGGCATTGTGAGGACCGAAGGTCCTTGCTTTCCCACCACTCTCTATGGCTTCTATGGTTTATTTTAAAGTTATTGTGACTTTTTATATCGGATCTGATTGTTACTATTAATGTTTTATTATTATTATTTGTGTGTGTGTTGGAAGTCGCCCAGAGTGGCTGGGGCAACCCAGCCAGATGGGCGTGGTATAAATAGAACATCATCATCATCATCATCATCATCATCATCATCATTCCCCAGTTCCTCCCCCAGTAGCCTAAGGCTCCATAGTCTTGTCTCTTTTTCCTCTGCCCTCTACATTTTTCTCTGTATTCTAGGAGACCTGGGTAGGAGAGGAGCTGGTTGCAGCAGGAGGGGGAAATTCCCTGGATTCTTCAGCAGCCTATCTCATCTCTGTTTTCCTGGCTCCCCTCCTCCCCTGCCTCTGAGACTGGACTGCTCTCTTCCCCAGCCTCTTCCTGCTCACTAAACACTGTTGCCTCTTCAGCTTCCAAAACCACCTCCTCCCAGTCTGCTCCCTCTGACCACTCATCACCGTCCCACCACCAATCCCCTGGCTCTGAGCCTTCTTCCCCTGGGGGTTCCCCAGCTGCTGCCTCCCACCATTCCTCTGCATCCAGCCAGCCCATGATATCAAGATGCCATTGAACTACAACCCCCATCATCCCAGATGTTGGCTGGGGCTAAAGTGTCTGTGTCCAAAAACATCTGGAGAGTTATAGGCTTTACGATGCAACAGACTAACACAGGTTGTTGTGGTGCATTTGTTAGGACTTTGAATTAGGGCGAAACGTGTCTTTGATCATTGCTCAGGGTCAACAGGGTTATTATCCCTTGCTTCTGTGGAAGTTATGCACTGGAGGTTGCTAGGCGGAGATGTGTATTATCTTAAAATAATTTGTCTGAATCAATCCACTGAAAGGAGGGCAAAGATTTGAACACACATGTCCTGAAACACCCTCGCCAGAGTTCATTCTGGCAATCCTGCAAGGCAGAGAGAGTCTGGAAGGTGAAGAGAACTGATTTGACATGTGGGCAGATAAACGGTGATATGCTCTACTTGTCTGAGACAAGAGGGGAAAGTCCATGAATTGAGATGATGATGGTGACCAGGTTCACCCTGCAAAGAATGTCGGTGACGTACTGCTGAGTCGTTCCTGTCAATGACGCTGGTGAGACAATGGAATGATTGGCTGGGAGCAGTTGTGAAATCGTCAATACTGGGAAGCAGTCCAGGCAAGACAGGACAGGGAAGTCAAGGAGAGTCTCAGGAAACTGGCGGCGATTAATGCACCAACAGCCCTGTTCTAAAACTGTTAATGCGACTGCCCATGCAATCCCTCCTATCACTCAGCTCATCTTTCCTTTTTGCATTTGATGGACTTGGCAACCAGCTGCGGTGTTGATCCATGTGATTTAAGAACACGAGAAGAGCCCTGCTGGATCAAACCAAAGGGTTGTCTGGTCCAGCAACACAGGAAGCTACTGTATATCGAGTCAGCCCATTGGTTCACCTGGCTCAGTATGGCCCATGCTGCTTGGCAGTGGCTATTTTGGGTGGGAAATGCCAGGACTGAAGCTGAGACCTTCTGCATGCAAAGGAGATACTCTACCACTGTGGTCCTCCCTACAGCAGCCAATCACATGCCTCAGGAAAACCAACAAACAGGAAGGCAATAGCCCAGCCCCGCTGTTGATCTCTCATGCTGCCTCTGGTCCTGAATCCCACTCCCTTGCCTCAGAGGTCCTTAGCAGGAGCTGTTGCCCGGCAACTGCCAATAGCTGGTAAGGAAAGATTGGCCTCCATCATGGGCAGAGAGCCAGCTGCCCCTTCCTTGCCTTAGAGATCACTGATGGGCTTTCCTTCCTACCAAGGGCTGGCGCTAAGGAAGACCAAGGATGGGGGTACACAATGCTACCTGAATATCTATCTCTACCACCGTAAAGATGCCATGTTCTTCCTGTTCCTGATGCTGTGACTAAGATTTTCCTTGCGAGAATATTTTCTAAGCCACTTACATTTCTCTCAGGAGAAATATAAGCATGCTAAAATAATGGAATAATAAAAGTGTGCAGCTTGAGTCATCATGCCCACAGTGAAGGTTTTCTAATTCATGCTAATAGAACAAGCAGCTCTACTGGGGAGGTTTGTTAGGGCTGCCATACGTCCGGATTTTCCTGGACATTACCGGGATTTCAAAGGCAGAATTGACTTACGGGGGGGGAGGGGGCGGGGAAGCTCAGCAACGTTTGGGGTGTCCTGGTTTTTACTTTTTGAAATAAGGTTTGTGGAAATGCTCTATGTATATCCACCAGGACCCTATATTTATTTTAGTTTTTTAAGCAGTTTGAGGGCTTAAATTTTTTTTGGGGGGGGGACCCCACTGTAGTGTGTGTGTGTGTATGTGTGTGTAACACAAAGAAAATATAAAACAACAATGAAAAGAAAAGCAGGGGTATGTAAATAATACAGATAGTGAGGTTGTGAAAGAGATATTTGCCCTGAGAAACCGCATATTAGAGGGTCAGCTGTATTGTAGTTTAGAGGTTCAAAGCACTGCTCAGCCATAAAGCTTTACTGGGCAACTTTGAGGGCCAGTTTCTGTCTTTTGGTCTAGCCTACTTTACAGGGTTGTTGTGAGGTTGGAAGAGTAAAAACCATGTATGCTGCTCTGATCTCCTTGGGAGATATAAGTGTAAGGTTCAAGAGAACAGTCTTATGCATGTCTGCTCAGAAGTACGCAGGAACATAAGAAACTGCCTCCTGTCGGTACTGAAACCCCATTGACATCAATGGGACTTATTACCAGGGTAGGATAGCATTGTAGCCTAAACGCATTCATCTTTGAAGATTGGGGATTTGAGGGAATTGTCTAACCTCTGGAGCAATTGATCGATGGATTGCAGACCGACACTCCTTTCTTCTAGAGAGTTTTTTTTCTGCCGCCACTCTTTTCAGTCGGGATGGCGTGATTCTTACCTGCTACTGTCAAAAACCTTCTGTGAGCAAAGGTGAAGCTGTCCGTTTCCTTGCCCAAAGCTGTCACCTGCCTTCATCAGATGTAGGTCTTCCCCGAATCCTTTCTTTCTTTGAAGAAAATCTGTCAAAGGCTTGATTGGCAGGTGGAGATCCACAGCCGGCATTTATCGAGCTGGGCACACCTACGCACACACAATGCTTCAGGAGAAATTACTGTTTTCAAGAGCTGCACAATTAGTTTTATACTTTGTATTGGTGAAGTTGAGTCTTTCCCTCTCTCCCTCTGTGCGTGCATAAAATCATCATTTGACCTTAATTTTGAGAGGCATGATAGAGAAATAAATATGATTCGTTGAACGATGAATAGTGTGCCGTGTTATTTGTGCTTAAGGAGCCGGGGGGGGGGGGAATATATCTTACCAGCTGATGTTTTTCTGTTTCCATTTGATGGAATTTACAGTAGCTCAGTCACACGTCTGTCCTTAAAAGATTGCTGAATGCTTTGGAAGAGAGCACATGCACACTGAACCACACTGTTCTGAGATGATTCCATTTATATGGATTTGCTGGTTTGCTTCTTTTTGTGTGTGTGACTACATTATTTGTATAGCCAGGAACATTTTTCAGGCAAACAAGATCTTTGTTTTTAAGGATGTCCCTACCCCTCTTGCACATTTTGTGCCTGAGAACACAATCCGTCAACGTTACCAGTGAAATTATCTGATCCAAAACATTTCACATAGGAAAGGGAGGCCGGTTGCCAAGTCAGCAGACACGGCTCCCACGCAGGAGTAATTTTACACCTGTGAGGTGTGTCAGTTCATCGATGCAAATGGGTAAATGCTTCCATTGTCCAGACTGGGACAGAATGTTTTTCTGAAGATTATTAATTGCTTATAACTTGGGGGACGGGAAGTGATCGTCAGCCCTGATCTCATTAACTGAAACAACAAATCTGTAAGGAGGCAGGGATTACTATTCACCAACGGAGGTCCCATTATTGTATCTGTGTGTTTGCAGGAAGTGTGTGTGTGTGCCTGTGGTTTCCTTGATGGTAGAGCCTTCATCACCACAATGTATTGTTGTTGCTGCTGTTAACTGCCTGTGTCCTTTGCCTTAAGATCCCAGGGCGGGTTACAACATTAAAGCACTAAAAACAGTTTAAAGCAACTTAAATTCACAAACTGGCCAAAATGTATAGATCAAAAAAATGAATGTTGGAAATGTAAGGAAAAGGAAGGTACGGTACTTTTTACCATATGTGGTGGACATGTAAAGAGGTAAAAGCTTTCTGGGAAATGATATAAAATGAGTTGAAGAAATGTTTTAAAACACCTTTGTTAAAAAACCAGAAGCTTTTTTATTGGGTATAGTGGGTAGAGAGATGCTGAGACAAGATAAAAAATTGTTCTTATATGCAACAAATGTGGCAAGAATTTTTTTAGCTCAAAGATGGAAACAACAGGCGTTTCCAACAAAAGAAGAGTGGCAGATGAAAATGATGGACTTTGCAGAACTGGTGAAACTGACTGGAAGAATCCAGAACAAGCAAGACCAGGCATTCCAAAAGGACTGGAACAAATTTATATTGTATTTGAAAGACAACTGTAAGCAATTAACATCATTAGCAGGGTTATCTGAAGATCTGTAATATGAAATTGCTACCTATTCGGGTTGAGTAATATAATATTTTAGGTAATGATATAACAAGGATAGGAAACGAAGTGTAATGTAAAGATGTAGAGTTTAATTTTGTAAACCATCAGAGAGGAGGGAGGGAAGTTGTCTGGCTCAGTTGAGCCATAGAGATAAAATAAGAGGGAACGATGTTACGTAATGTGATTATATGTAAAACCAATAGAAATCATTTATAAAAACCTGCCACTAAAAACAGTTTAAAGCAACCTAAAATCACAAAAGGTGGGTCCTAAATATATGCACCTCAAGTATTAAAAGCCAGGGCAAAGAGGTGCCTCTTCAACATTTGCCGGAAGCTAGCTAATGAAAGTACCAGACACAGCTCTGTGAGAAGGCAGTTCCACAGCTTAGGGGCCACCACTGAGAATGCCCTTTTCCAGGCCACCATTCCTTGAGCCTCTGAAGACGGAGCAACTACCTAGCAGGCCCCGTCTGCCGATCTCAGCACCCAAGAGATCTGTTGCTCCCAAATGCAGCAGTTTTGTTTTTCCTCTTGGAGTAAATGCATTTATGATAGAAAACAAAAGGGTGCACTTGACTTGAGAATGCCAGAGAAGTGGGGACACACTCACTTTGGGGTGCCTGAGGCAAGGGGGGTCTAGTAAGCTTTCTCTTCCCTGCGATGGCACCTCAATTTACAGCTGGTTCTCTTTGTTCTGCAGAACTTAACGGGAGCCGCTGAGAACAAATAAGCGTTAGGAATAAGAATCTACCATGCACCTCACTTGGAGATTGGGGCACATGCAACAATATGGTTAGGACTCATGGGAATATTACAGGAATTTTTAATGGCGTGAAACCCTCTAACACAGCAGGACAGATCCTTAGTGAAAAGTCTCCAAACATGGATGTCGTTTTCAAGCAAGGACCTGCAAAAAGAGTGACATGTTTGTTTATCGTTTTATTAGAAACTGTTGTTTTTATTAAAAACTTTTAAAATAAAAATGCTGTGTGTAAACTGGGCCTCAATCCCTCTCCATCTCACTCTTTTCCATCTGAAGTCAGATTCTAACACTGCAGACCACAAATATGCTGCCTCCTTAAATAACACTATGAGGGTGGGTTTAAAAATGTAAGTTTTTAAAAATAACTATCAGCATGGTCTGAAGGCATCAGCCTGAGGCCTGAGTCTGATCAGGGCCTAGTTCAGCCTTCTCAAACCTGGCATCTCCCCTGTTTATTTTATTTACATTGCTTATAACCTGCCATTGCTAACATGAGCCCAGAGCAAAGAGCAGCAGACAATAAAAGAATATTTAATTTAAATACAACTGAGTAGAAAAACAGACATTACACTAACAATAGAACTACTATCAGCATAGCAAGGAGACCACTTTAGCAAAATGCTTTAGTGAACAGTCACATTTTTACCTGCTGTTGAAACTTCATTAGCACTGGCTCTGATCACATCCAGCGTCAAGGTGCCACTATTGAGAATGCCCTCTTATGTTGCCCGAGACTGCATCTTGGAGACCTTTGGCACTGTGAGAAGAGCATCATGCCCTGATGACCACAAAGTACAGGCAGGTGCATAAAGAAGCAGGTCTGTGGATTCTAAGTAGGGATGGATGCAGGGCTGTCTTAAGCATATGTGGCGCCAGGGTGCAAAGATCCACCCGGTGCACCTCCCCCCAGTTTGCCCAGTCCCAGGAATGCAGGAGGGCGGAGCCGGCCGGCCACCTCAATGTCTCGCTAGCTTGGTCATCCCCCAACTCACGGCACAGCAGATGAGCCTGCCCCGGCGCTCTGACTGACAGGTGGGCTCTTCTCTGGACTCAACTCTTGGCCTGGCGCCCCTAAGAGCCTGGCACCTAGGTGCCCTCCACCCCTAGTGCCTATGGGTAAAATGGCCCTGGATGGATGGAAGGATCTATCAGTGTTGGTTTTCTCCATTTCTCTTTCTTCCAGTCTTAAATTTTTTGTTTTGCACATTTCTGCAGCAAGCTGTGATTTTTCTTTTTAAAAACACTCTTGAAAATTGATCATTTTAGTGCAGTTCTCCTAACAGACACACTTTTGTATGCAGTTTTGACAAATGCACATATTTCTGCAAGCCATTTTCCCCAATATAATGCATTGCTAATGCTATTTTCACTAACACGTTCATTTTTTATGGACGCATTTACCTAATATATGCATTTTTGTAATTATTGGTTGGTTGGACAACAGAACTGCAAAATTCAGATACCGGCAAATTTCAGATTGCAGGTAAATGCAAATTTAAATGGCTAGGTTTCGGTTTGTGTATTCCCTGTGAAAGTCCAAATTGGATAAATTCAACTTTGAGCATGAACTGAATTGAATTTCTGCCTGAACCCAGGCTTTATAGGTCAAAACAAGGACTTTAAACCTGGTTCAGCAAAGGGGC